TAACTGAATTTTTAAAAAGTTTACATCTCTCTGCTTGTAGTACCTATACATGTTTTCTACTTAATCCATTAAAGACTTCAATGTATTAATCACAGTTCTTTAAGAGAATTTCAACATCTTTGTCCTATTTAAGCCTGGTTCCAATAGTTTCCTTGTCTCTTCACAGTTCCTAGCATACTTTGTAATTTTTTGTTAAAGCTTTACGTGACGTATCTGGTAACAGGATCTGAGGTAAACAGAACTTTTTAAAAAATTAATCTCTACACCAAATGTGAAACTAGAACTCAGAACTGGAGACCAAGAGTCACAAGTTCCACTAAGCCAGCCAGGCATCCTGAGGTAAACAGAATTTTATTGTGAGGCACTATGTTAATCTGGCTAAGAGTGGGCTATATATAATATCCACTATAGTTGTAAATGCCAGAGGACTAAAAATTCCTCTAGTGTCTTTGTTTTTGTCTCCCCTGTTGACTTTTAACTTCCTTAATTACTCCTCCTCAGAGACAGTCTATGCTTTGCAGCTGTAACCTACTGTTACAGTACCAGAATCTTGTCGGTGTGGTGGTTAAGTGGGGGGAAAGGAACCATACCAGGGATGCCTGGCTGGTACAGTCAGTAGTGACTCTGACTCTTGATCTCAGGGTCATGAGCTCATGCTCCACATTTGGCATGGAGCCTATGAAAGAGAAAGAGAAAGTCAAGAGGAAGAGGAAGGGGAAGAGGAAAAGGAAGGAGAAGTGGAAGGGGAAAAAGGAAGGAAGGACGGACGGATGGAAGGAAGGAAAAGAAAGGAAGAAAGGAAGGAAGGGAGGGAAGGAAGGGAAGCATACCTCCTACAGTAGCATAATCTACTATAATCTTATGATCAAATTTTAGTCATTTAGTGGGTCTGTGACTTTAACAAATGTTTCTTACTTTCTACTGCACTGCCTATTAGGTGAGACAGAAAGGCTACAGAGGACAGCCATGGAAAAAATGCTTTTCTCCCAGGTAAGCTATAACTTTACTAAAGTCTTTTCCCTAGAAGAAAAAGCTGTATTCAATTTCTGGCCTCATTTCATAAAAGTTATCCCTTCCCCTTCCACGTCACAGCCCCTGAGGATCTCACTGTGAGAACCTAATGGTTTTACCTAGAGGTAAAGTCCATGAATGTGTGGAGGGACTTCTAAAACTACAGTCCCTAGGAGTTTTTCACTCTCAAGCTAGTCTAATCCATACTCAGCCTCCAATAATTCATCAGAAGTACCAGTTAGATGTTCCTACCAACTAATGTATGGTTGCTGTGGCTTCTGCTCCAGGTAAACACATCTTGGCTGTGGCTCTCTGGAGTTACTTTCCTCTCCATAATTCAGGGTAGCAGTTTGTACTGTAGCCTCATTTCTTTGATGGGTCCATGAAAAGCACTGATTTTCAGTTTGTTCACTTTTTCTTATTGTAAGGCTAGAAGTGATGACTTCTGGGCTCTTTACGTGTTGGAGCTGAAACCAGAAGTCTTGCTAAATTCTTTACTAGTATGATGATCTTTTCCCTGCAATTCACACATATACTTATTGCAATGAGAATGATGATCAGCTAATTACTAGATGCTACATTGCAGCGTAACTCCAACTTCTCCATTGCCTTTATAGAAGCTTTTCTCAGCCAGTATTCTGCTAGAGAATTAAGTGTTATAGAAAATAAATTATTATTTTCTCAATTCTACCAAGGATGCTACATAACTAGTACCATGGTACATGCATAGGAGTTAATTTATTACATAAAATGGATGCCTTAGAGGCACTTGGGTGGCACAGTCAGTTAAGCATCTGATTCTTGGTTTCAGCTCAGGTTGTGATCTCAGCGTCGTGAGATCAAGCCCTGTGCCAGGTTCTGCACTCAGCCCACAGTCTGCTTAAGACTCTTTCTTTCTCTCCCTCTACCCCTCCCCACCCCTGCACTCTCCTTCTTCCTCTCTCTAAAATAATAAATCTTTAAAAATAAATAAATAAAATAGATGCCTTAGCCACTTTACCTCATAATGTTTCAATGTATACTTCCTAAAATAAGGATATTTTCTTACATTATGGCAAAACAGTTATCACATTTAAGAAACTGAACAATACTTTTATATAATCTGCCACCAAAGGCATAGTTTTCTCAATTGTCCCAAGAATCCCCTCTCCCCACAAAAGAATTCTGATCTGGATCAAATATTCATTTAATTGTCATGTATCTTTTTAAAGTCTCTTTCAATCTTTCTCAGTCATTCTTGACTTTCATGACACTGATTTTTTCTTTTTAAAGAATACAGGCCACTTTTCACTGTTTCTTAATAACATGTTGCTGGTTTTGGCTTTGTCTGATATTTCCTTATAATTAAATTCAGGCCATGCATCCCTGGCCAAAATACTGAATACTGAAACTGTATCCTTCTTCTCATGACCTAAGTTAGTCTTAATCATCTATTGATGATTATTTCCCAGTCAATCTTTATAATGATCACTGTAATAATTCTGTAGTTGTGCTCAATCCATATTTATTAATCAGCATTCTACCATATGGGAAAGTTCTCCCTTTCTCCTTTTTATCTATCAATCAATTTGACTGTCAGCAGTATGGATGCATGGTCTCCTATTTTTTCAATGGTTCATTACTGTCCTAGTTATTTGGGTGTTCAAAATAGCCCTAAATTTGGCCAATGGTAGCATCTTCAAACTAGCTTCTCAGTTCTTTTGACATGCCCCCCATCTTTTTTTTTTTTTTTTTGGTAACACTTCCTTGCTTTCTGGTACCACTGAGATATTCCAAGTCATCTTATACCCTCTCTTCCCCACATCTGGAGATCACTCATTTCTCCAAAGACCTCCGTTTCCTTTCAGCTGGGAATAGTATTAAAAATCAAGAATGAGTGCCATTATGTACTCACTGCTGTGAGGGTAGTATGAATCTAGACTGGTCATATCAAGTATGGTAGCCATTATCCGTATGTAGCTATTTAAATCAAAATTAATAAAACAGAATTTTAGTCCCTCAGTTGTACTAGCCACATTTCATGTGCTAAATAGCTACATGTATTTTGTTACTGCCATATTAGATAGCACAGTTATTTATGGAACATTTCCAACATTACAAGAAAATTCTATTAGACATTACTTACTGTTATAGACCTTTTCACAGTGAATTTCACAAAGTGAACTTTTAAGTTCTCACTCTCCATTACCTTTTAAATATCTTCCTGTGTCCACTACATTCTTTCATACATCAAAAAATTACTTATTGAGCATATACGATTGGGACAGTTACTGTTCAAAGCTCTGTAGGTTCAGAAATACATAGTCCCTATTTTCTAAGAATTTACAATGTAATGAGAAAACGGAAAAATAAAGGATTATACTAAAATAATGGCTTATTTTTACAACAAGGTGCTATATTAATATCCTATAATGAGGATGTCAAGGAAGGTTTCCCGAGAGAAAGGACATTTATTAAGTTTAGAAAGGTAAATAACTGGCGACTGAATATCCTCGCAATTTGGAGGGTAAGTTGGAGGTGGGGCATCTGTTCTTCCACCATTTTTTTCATCTCTATTCCTATTTACTTAAAATTCTTTCTCTAACTCTCCCATAACCTTTCAAAAGTCTGTTTATCTTTCAAAACCCTTATTTTATGATGCATTTCTTAATACCTCTAACCAGATAGGCCCCTTCCCGTACCCCCAAATATACTGTCTTAAATGATTTAAAAGATTTGGTTTATTTTTGTCATTATCAATACAACGGGTAAGAACATGGTGTTTGGAATCAGACATTTTGCTTACTAGCTGTGTGACCTTGGGCAAGTTACTTAATCTCTCTGCTCCTCAATTTCTGCATCTAAAGGGGAATTAACAACATCTCACAGTTACATTTTGAGATAATAACAAAATAACGTACTGAAAATGCTTAGCTCAATGAGTGGAATATGATAAAGTATATGGTCTCCTAGTAACAATAATCTTACACTCATTTCTTCCTTTGTTTGATGAATAAAGGCCAATCTTTATAATCTCAGAGAATATATTCTAGTAACATCTAACAAATCCCCTAAATTACTAAAGCAAATTCCTTCCAATCAGACTATTATGGCATACTCATACGTTCAACATTTTCAATAAGCAATTCTATGTATAATTATGAAATTACATACTCGATTTCAAAAAATATTATTTATCTAGTTCATATAGCATATTTAAATAAAAATCACTAAACAAAATATGACTTTGTATGTAAAAACTTTAAATAAAAATATTTTCCCATTAAGAAGCTTTCCTAAAAAGCACATCATATAACAAAAACTAAAGGTAACTCATGTTGACCTTTATCACAGTTTTAGGTATGTATTGAAAGATGTACATTTAACACTCTGCTAACAAATGAAAAATATGCTCTTTTAAATGCACGTTTTTGTTTTGTTTTATTTCTTTCCAGCGTAACAGAATTCATTGTTAAAATGCACATTTTTAATGAAGTACATTTTAATTGTAAAAAGTATCAGCATGGATATATAAAATTGCATTGCTTATATTCCAGACAAAGGAAAAGACATGCTCTCCAGGATTAACAAATACCAAACCTAAAAAGGAGAGTGATGCCATTTCCTACAAAATAACTGGCAGCTATGCAGATTTTTACTTTTTTTTTTTTACTAAGCAAAAGACAAATATGTAGTACACTTGTGTTTTCCTTATTACCCTTACTAGCAAAATTTTAAACCACCATGATATATGTAATTTTCCTCCAAATTAGTTTAAGCATAAAAGGTATTTTTAAAAAACGGAGATGTGAGAATTTTAATACACTGCCCTGTTAAAAAATTTATTAAATTCCACTTATATGTTGTCAACAGCTATGTCTTATAAACCATATATTTAAAGGTTTCTAGATGTAATTATTCTAAACAACCATGTATAATCTGTATCCTTTTGTATGTGAAATACATTGATGACAAAATCTTTGTTCACATTTTCCCATAGGCAGCCTTACCTGCGGAGTCCAATAAAAAGTAGGGCTCAATCGGTAGAGTTTTCGTTTGTGGAAACTCTGAAGTGGCCTTGTTCGAGCAGCTGTACTCATGATAGTCAAGGATGGAGATTTCAATCTTGTCCTGTCTTTTCTCCTTTTCTTATTGTGCTTCTGGTTAAGTAACCAGCTACTGGAGGAAGAGAGCTCATCTAAATTCTCTGAAGCACTGAAATGCCATGAAATAATTGGGGAGTGGAGAGAATAAAACAAAACAAACAAACAAACAAAAAAGACAAAGAAAACTAAATGTAAATTGCCTTGATCTATTATGACAGAAGAGTATTAATTTTAGCCAATTTTGTGGTAACAATTGGCAAAAGAATGGGTATTAACGGAGATTTATATATTCAAGCTGTAAAAATAATTTCTATTTCCTCCTGTAAAACAAATATCCCATAGGTCGGAAATGCTCATATGAGTTCACTGGTACGATGTACATGTTCACTGTAAATCAATAATTCATGCCTGTTGTTCGGTGCTGTAACTCTTTACATCATATTCTTTTTGCATATGGGTGAAACTACATAAGATTATAGGCTTACAAAAGGCTAAAATCCCATACTGTATCATTAGTTGCTCTGAAATAAATACTACATACTAATTCTGAAACAAAGATACAATCCTACTATGTTTTAGAAATTTTTTTAAAGTTCTGATGATATAGAAGCCACAACTATAATATAGTGAAATAGATTACACAAACTATATACAAAAATAAGCACATTAATGTCATCAACATTCTTCATATTAATTTTTAAACATATTTAAATATTTTTTAAAAATCAGAATATCAGAAGGAAGTTAATGCTCAGTGCCACATAAATTTCATTTCATTTATACCAGTATACTATATATAAAATAATTTTTTCAGGCACTACATACAATGTACCGATTTCAACCTTATTTATATAGACAGAAAACTAGTCAATTTAGTATTTTAATATCAACAAGTGAATCTGCCATATGTTGTATTGCTAATAAACATACATTCTAAGTAAGTTATTTGACTTAAGTAGAATTGGTGTTTAACAGTAAATATAAGATCTGGTTTTTCTATAGCAGCATCATTAGTTTCAAATCATACTTATGGCTACTATAAAATATTCTGATAGCTTATGGATAAAGAAAGTAACTTAAGATGCTTTACATAGTAATAAGAAATCAGAAATAAAGGCACCTGAATGGCTTTTGTTGGTAATACCAAAGAGAATTAAATACGGAATTTGGTGACGATAATATACCCAACAAGTACTTGAGTATGTACTACTGGCCACACCAGTATAGGGGGGAAGAGGTGATAATAACTATTTCATTTAAAAATCTTAACTTTATATTTTTTAAGACTTTATTATTTCAGAGAGAGAGAGCACAAGCTGGGGGGATCAAGCAGAGGGAGAAGGAGAAGCAGGCTCCTCACTGAGCAGGGAGCCAGACTTGGCTGGATCCCAGGACCCTGGGATCATGACCTGAGTCGAAGGCAGACACTTAACCGACTGAACCACCCAGGAGCCCTAAAATCTTAACTTTAAGTCTTCAGAGAGCCCTAGTCAAAAGAGTCTTAAGTCCCAGTTAGTAGGCATTCTAAAGATCTAAGAAAGGTTTAATACAACACTATTCTCAAATTAACAGGTCCAATCTCATGTCCTAGACATTATTTTCTGTAATAAGTGTATCAGTGCTAAGTAACAGTCTGCTCTTGAGAAACAGCCAGGGAGTTGGGCTATCATGTCAAGCATGAGCAGAAGGCACAGATGACGGACAGTATCAAATGAGGCACTGGGTAGGGTAGGTGGTTGGCAGAGTAGTCAGTCAGGTCAGGTAGAAGACAGTTTTCAGAAGGTGGTTGATATAAGAAGTCAAGTCAGGATGCTAGAATCCAAGAAGATAGGAGTAGATCCAGTACAAAAAGAGGTTCTTCCGGCAAGTTAGAAACATCTTTAGGCAAGAGACATTGCTTCCATAGCGTCTAGAGAAAATGAAGAGCTTTTTTTATTCCAGGAGTTAACTCTGAAGCACAGTTTAACTCTGCCCTCTGTAATTCTTTAGCTGTTAATGAGACCTTATTACCCTCCCCACAGAAGAGTTAGCCCTAAAGAAAATGAGCCACCATCTCTTTATTGACTGACAGGACACAGCTTTTGAATCGGCTAGAGGCTTATAGGTTGGGTTAAAGATAAAAAGAAAATGTGTTCACTGAATGTTGTATTTTCAAGTTTTTTTTTTTAAGATTTTATTTATTTGACAGAGAGAGACACAGCAAGAGAACAAACACAAGCAGGTGGAGTGGGAGAGGGAGAAGCAGGCTTCCAGCTGAGTGGTGAGCTCGATGTGGGGCTCAATCCCAGGACCCTGGGATCATGACTGAGCCGAAGGCAGACACTTAATGCCTGAGCCACCCAGGCACCCCATAATTTTGCTTTAAAATGAATTAAATAATTAAGGAGAGGAGAACAGTGAGGATTAGTTGACATCTTTCTCCATTTCCACAATCACTCCCCTAATTCAAGTTCTTTTTGTCCAGGAATACTCCAAGAGCCTCTAACTGGTTTCTCTCATCCACACTTTCCCCCCTTAATTTCCTTCTATTACCAATCTTTTGGGAAAACAAATATTACCTTTTCATTCCCTTTCCTCCCATTCCGATACTGTTTACCATCTCTCAAAGCCTTCCCATTACTCTGGAGAAAAAGACTTCCAAGTTTAAAAGGCCCTGACTGGCCTGGCACCTGCCATCAGTCTCCTGACTATCTTGCATCGCAGTCCTCCCTGCTCCCTGTGTTCTAGCCACACCACCTCCTTTCATTTCAAGTAATTCACACTCTCTACAGTACAAGACCTATTATATGTTATCTCTGCTTTACTTCTCACATCCTCCTTCAACTACTTAATTTCCAATAATCATGTGGCTCTCAGTTCAAAAGTCCGTTTCTTAGAGTCTTTCAGCTCTTGTTTCATCTTTCCAAAGACTAGGTCAAATCCCCTTTTGAGCTCTGACATCACTGCTTATCTGTCCTTCAAAGCATTTTTCATAGTGATAATTTTGTATTCATCTGTATGATTATCTTATTAATTAATGTCTTTCTAGACTGTAAGTAGTACAGGGACTGTATCTATTTTGTTCACCCTTGTATCAAGAAATTCCTGATACTGCACCTTGCATACAGCAGATGCTCAATAAATATTTGTTGAATAGAGAAAGACACACATATATATATATTGGCAGGTTTATCATTCCAGCTCTGTGCTTTGTATAGTGCCTGTAGAAAACACATTACACCTATATAATTAGTTTAGTGAATGAGTAAACATTGAATCTTTTAAATAACCTAAAAACCAAAAGAGGTTCTAAACAGAAGACTACAAAAGAGCTTTTAGAAAGATTATATATATAGATAGATAGATAGATAGATAGGGCCTTGCATTTCATTCTATATCTCTAAATCTGGTTTACAAAAGGTAGTTTTTGGTAGTAAGATATGATGTATCTTATTGTATAGTCAAGTATGTCCATCATAAATTTAGAATAAGGAGATAAGAACTATAAGATGTTCTGATTTGTAAAAGGGCATCAACCAAGTCTAAAAATTTCTTCTAATCTAAAAAGTACAAACAACTGAGAGCTTTATTTAAAAAAATAAAAAGTTCTGAGTTCATACTTTATATTAACACTATTTACTTTCTCTAATAGTTATTTAATGACTTTCTGAAATACCTGGTTTTCTATTACAATCCTAGAAAATCCTAGCAGTTAAGATATTTATGGATGATAACAAGCATTCAATTTGCTGCTACAGAGTATGAGTGGAAAACTTCAAGTGAATTTTTTTTACAGTACAGTCCTATACTCTCGATTACTATAGGAACCAAAGTCCCAAAAGTTTTCATTTTTTACCAGATAGTCTACTGTAAATCACTACCAAAATCAATTCCTGCAAACATTATGCACTTATATTAATAAATAAAACAATCTAAAAATATGAATATATGGGGGCATGGATTAGCTAATTTTTTGGTGTTATCTCAGTGGCAGTATTAATGGTAGAGGATGTAGAATAACAGTTTAATTTTGATATTTCTTTTCTTTCTTTCACAAACCCAGTGAAAGACAATCTAGGGTTTTTCACAGTAAATTATTCAAATATTTAATAACCTTTTGCCTAAACCAAATTATCCTCTTAGAAGGACAGGAATAATTGGAATATCATAATAACCTTACAATGCTGTGCTCAAATATTTTTAGTAAATAAGAAACTTTGGGGCTTGGTTGTAAATTCAGAATGCTAGAACCATAAAAGCATAAAAAAGACTTTATGAGATTATTTTAATCTTTTGTTCTCAAGAAGAACAGAACATAAATTTTTAATGTATTATTTTAAAATACTGTTTAAGGATAGTAGTTTTCAATATTTCTCCCATATTTACCCATTCTCATATTAAATAAACTTTTTAAAGAGTAGAAGGGTGCCTGGGTGGCTCAGTCAGTTAAGTGTTCCACTCCTGATAAATTCAGGTCTGGATCTCAGGGTAGTGAGTTCAAGCCTCCATCAGGCTCCACTCTGGGCATGGAGCCTACTTAAAAAAATAAATAAAATAAAATTCACAAAAAGTACAAATCAATAAGGGAGAATTGGAATGTGCATTCTCAAAAAGATTCTCATATCTCCACTCCTAACCCCCAGTTCCCATATATTCACATACAAAATACCCATACCCACTGTCCTGGGTTGAAGAGTGCCCTCACAAAAGTTACACTCACCAAGAACGTCACAGTGTGACCTTATTTGGAAATACAGTCTTTGCAAATGTAATTAGGTAAAATGAGGTCATAGAGGATTAGAGTAGACACTAAATCCACTCACTGATGTCCTTATACAAAGAGACAGACAAAGAAGAGACGCACCCAGGGAATAATGCCACGTGGATAAAGAGGTGGAGACTGGAGAGATGAGCACAAGCCAAGGAACGCCAAGGACTGCCAGCAACCGGGAGAAGCCAGGCAAGAAACGATTCTTCCCTAGAACCTTCATTGAGAACACGGCCCTAACCCCTTGATTTTTAAATTCTAGCCTACAGAACTGTGAAAGAGTAAGTATCTGTTATTTTAAGTCACTCAGTGGTGATTTGTTACAACAACTCTAGGAAACTAAAATATCTATAAAACTACAC